GTCGTTTGGTTTTGAGTTCAAGTTCTGTATTTCCGTGAGTAAAAAATATGTTTGAAAAAAATTAAAAACCAAACGCAGTGTGAGCCATGTGTACAGCTCACAACGTGTAGCCTTCAATATCTTCTGGTTTTGAGTTTAAAATTTTGACCTTTTTGTTAGCACGATAACTCTTCTCAGAGAAAAGCAAATCCAAATATGACTTTACAGGATGGTTGGGGGTTGCGACGAATAGAAGGATTTTTGAAGGATTTTCGTCCATCAGTCTATTCATGGTGTAACCATAGGGAAAAATTTGTTAATTCGATAACTTTTTTCCAGAGACATAAATCAAGATATAAAATGTGTAGTAAGGCTGTCAACGAACTGTTCACGAACGTACGCGAACGGATTGATTTTTGATGCGACTGTACTTGTTTGTTCGTACGTACGCTTCGAATAATTGTTCGCGCGAACACGAATGCGAACGCGAACGTCCGCGAACTGTCCGTGAAAAGCTATTCAGTAAATTCAGTATTACTGATTCAGAAATCAGATCATTACAGCAATTTTTTGTAGCATTGTTGGCAACATGTCGATTATATTTTTATTAGTATTTGAGAGCTCCACATCTAAAAACAACATGAAAAAAATATTTTTTTTCATATCAAGATTTGTTTATAAAGCAATAAAATATAACCAAAACAAATTCCCAATTCGAAGATACTGTCCTGCGCCTTGTACAAAGTTTGTCATCACAAGACGATTTACCGTTTACTGATATTCTTAGATTCGTAAAGAAGTCTTTCGCGGTAACGGTTTCTCGTACACAAAAAACCAAAGACACAATCGCATCACCGAGATGGAAAGGATTTCATTCATTTGACGAGTGTCAAAAAGAATTGTTATTCGCTCGAAAATGAAAAAATTGAAGTGTTTGAAGTGCAGTGGATTTTTTTCTACTAAATACAACCTTGAAGTACATTTTGCGGGCAAACATCCCAACATTTCCATTGAAAAAAGGAAAGAATTGTGTCGTGCAGCTGAGTGGTTTGAGGTACCGAAAAAAAAGGGCAAATTTATTTGTGAAATATGTGATAAAACTTTACAGCGGAAAGAAAATCTAATTAACCATATGAAAATCCACTCGACCTCGCGAAAACGGCTCAAATGTGATTTTTGTTCGCTGACTTTTACATATCGGACAAATTTAAGACGCCATCTAAACAAAAAACATTCCAACGAAATGATCAGCAATTCTATCAGTTCAAATTCCTTCCCCACTAAAAGAAGTGATGATGAAACCAGTAAAGACGATGATGTACCACTGGCCCGAATGCATATAAAATTACGCACTGATCCAGACATGAGCAAAGCTGCTGATTCAGACACTGATCCAGACATGGAAGTTTGTTCAACTGATCGCGGAAGTGAAGAGAAAGGTATGAATTGGAGTAATTATCTTCAAAAAGTCAAAATGATGGCAAAACATGCTATAATTCTCTAATAAAATATAGTTTGTGAATCTGAAAGAAATGCATGAATACTTTTTTCCAAGCAAATATTTCATCAGAGCATAGATTTCCATGAATAAATTAAATTTGAGATGATTATTTTTAATGAAATCACTTGAAAATTCCTTACTTAGACTTAAATTGTTTTCATGACAACTGTGAACAAAACATCGAGGAAATGATTGTGGATCATATCGACGAAATATTCGAGCCGGTTCAAGCAGATGAAGCTGTGGAATTGGCACCTATGAGAAGCTTACAAGATGAAGAAGATGACAAATTCATGTCGGGCGAGTATGACCATTTGTTCCTTAGTGGTAACTATTGAAGTTATAAAATCTGTACGCAAGATTTCGTTGCATTAAGATGTTTTATTGATTCCTGATTTACAGAATTACAATTATTTGTTCGTGTTCGTTTCTGATCAGAAAGATACGTACGTCGTACGTACGAACAAAACAAAGCACGAACGAACACGAACGAACGCGAACTGTTGTAGTACAATGTGTAGTACGAGAAATCCGAATCTGGCGTTAGTTTTGCGATACGAATAATCTTTAACACACTTTTCGTACAAAAATTCCTAAAGACGCCTGTAATCGTAATGACGTGAAACTTCTTACAGGTCATTTTTTTTATCAAAAAATAACATTCTGAAAGTTTGAAAAAATGTCGACAAAAATTAAATACAAAATTTGGTTGTTGGACAAAAAATCGAAAATTATGAATGGGAGGTTTCTTTATTACTTTTCCCACCCTTGGATTTTATTACTTTTCCGCACCCCTAGGCCGGAAAGGTAGGGGAGTGTGAAGAATTGTAAACACTTTTTTCGAGCTTTCCATAGAATTCAAAAAATTAATAAAATAATAAAATGAAGTAGAAGAGTTTTTTTAAATTTTTCGAATTCCTACTGGATTACGGTTTATTTTGATTTTGATAAACATGGTGTTGTTCATTCACGGTGGTGGTGACGGAATCGATGCCGGATGATTACATACGGAGGGTTCAAGGCAATTCTGAACACGACCCGCATTCGATTGACAAATGAACCGCTTAGAATAAAAGTAGATAATGGTAGAAAGTTAAAAAAAATCTCAATCATAAAGTGCTATGAAAATAATACTCAATCAAGAAAAAAAGTGAAAATAAAAATCGATCATAAATTGTGTTTGCATTTTATTTTCACTCATTTTATGATCGACTTTTATTTTCACTTTTTCCCTTGATTGAGTATTATTTTTACTCATTTTTTGATCGACTTTAATTTTTAATTTTTTCTTGATTGAGTATTATTTTCACAGAACTTTATGATTGAGATTTTTTTTAACTTTCTACCATTATCTACTTTTATTCTAAGCGGTTCAAATGTTGCGTCCTCCATCCGCGTCAAAGCTCCGCCACATTTTCGGCAAAACCAACCGGCATGGCCACGCGTGCTTCGACGGTACTCGATGTTATAGTAGGTGATATAGCCATATTGAGCCGATAATTGTGCGGATACGTACATATGCCGTCCGTCAGGGACGGTGCGAACTAACTTGACTTGATAAAGTTCGCAAATTAATTGCGATTGTACCGGGCAGTGTGCGCACATTACATCTACCATGTTCCGGCCTTCGATTCTGGGCAGTTCCGGAAATGCTGGATCTCGACTACCGTCCGGACGGAACTTATCGTCCGAAATATAATAAATGTCTGCCATTGTAAATCACGTCTGCTCTGTACGACGATTGAAAATGAAATGATTTTTCTTCGGTAAAATAATTTTGGATTTTGCGGAGCGATTTGAAATGCGTTTTCACACTTTGAATTTTAAACTCTGAATGAGCTCTCGGTTTGAAATTTGGATCGCTGTAGATTTGCCCGATACGAATTCACTCGATATTGCCCGATGCATTCGCTGTCAACTTCATGTTGTTGATAATCAAAATCATCAGATAACCTCAAATTGTGTTTATACTGTTGACATTTTCAATATTTTCGAATTCAATATTGCCCGACCTGGACCGAGCAAGGTCGGTCAATATACTGCCCTAAAAAAAATTCAAGTGGTTTTTTTTCACGTGAAAAATGAGCTTGGTTCAATAGAAGACTATGCCAGTAGCTTACACACATAAAAAACACAGTGTACTGTCACTCCAAGTATCGGAGTGATGGGTGCGTTCACTCCGCTCATGCTTTCGATAACACCAGTATTGGAGTGACACTAACGTTTGGAGAATGGAAAATTGAATTTGACATTGTGTCTTCATTTTTGGTTGCGAATAAAAATTACTGTTGTGCAAATGCTCCTAAATGGATAATAAAATATATTTGATTCGCGTCAAATGTCGCAATAACTTTATTTTCGTGAAATTATCTTCAGACGAATTATCAAAGGATATTTTTTTTCAAAAAGGTAGGTAATATGATGTACAAAAATGTATTTTTTTAAAAAATCATTTATGGTTGTAGCCATTCAAGCATTCGGTTTTAAGCAACACATCAATTTTCACATGAAATTGACTGACAATTATCGCACGTCTGTCGATCATGAATTTTTCAAAGAGGTTGTTGAAAATTTCCACAACAATTGCGGATTTTACTTGGAACTCCACTTTGAAGTCGATTACGAAAATTGATGTGTTGCTCAAAACCGAATGCTTGAATGGCTACAACCATAAATGATTTTTAAAAAAAATACATTTTTGTACAGTAAGTCTTATTCTTTACGGAACTTATTTCGAAAATAAACTTCAATGTCGTTTGGTTTTGAGTTTAAGTTCCGTATTTCCGTGAGTAAAAACTTTGTTTAAAAAAAAAATTAAAAACCAAACGCAGTGTGAGCCATGTGTACAGCTCAC